TTGCTTGGTGGGGTAGGAGGATCTTTTTATGCAAAGGAAGGGCTTAAGGGGGAATCTGATTTGAAACTTACAGAATACTGAGAGGCCTGGAAAAAGTGGATGTAGAGAAGATGTTTCCACTTGTTGGAGATGTGGAGGTGCCAGCGTTGAACTGGGGTGGGCAAAGTCAAAACTCATACGACACCAGGTTATAATCCAACAGGTTTATTTGGAATCACACATGAAGGGGCTGCGCTCCGAAAGCTATTAGGAGACACTAATACCTGAGGGTAAAGCCTCAAAGTGAAGGGATGACCTTTTACAACTGAGATGAGGAGGAATTTCTTTAGCCAGAGGGTGCTGAAACTGTGGAACTCATTGCCGCACAGGGCTGAGGAGACCAAGTCACTGAGTGTATTTACAGAGGTTCTTGATGAATAAATGGATCAAGGTTTATGGGGAGAAGGCAGGAGAATGGGGCTGAGAAACATATCAGCCATGATCAAATGGCAGAGCAGATTTGATGGGCTGAATGGCCTAATTATGCACCTGTATCTAAGGTATTCTAGTCAGGATGGTTCAGTGGCATTTGCAGCAACTCGGATATTTATACATCCATGTCCAAATGCAGAAAGTCTTGGACGACATTCAGTCTTGGTCTGATAAGTGGCAAATTACATTTGCACCGTACAAACATTAGGCAATGAATCTCTTGAACAAGAGAGAATCGAGCCATCTTCCCTTGACATTCAAGGGCCTTATCATTGCTGCATCCCCTACTACAACATATTGGGGTTATCAATGAGTGGAATCTGAATTGGACTAGTCCTATAAATGCCATGGTTATTTCAGCAGGTCAGAGGCTGGGAATTCTGACTAACTCACTTCCCAACTTCTCAAATCTGTTTACCATCTACAGGGCACAATTCAGGAGTGCAATGGGAATACTGTCCACTTGCCTGAATGAGTGCCGCTCCAACAACACTCGGGAAGCTTGATACCGTCTAGGACAAAGCAACCTGTTTGGCAACCGAACCAACACTACCAAAGTTCACTCCCTCCACCACAACGCATGGTGACAGAAGTGTATGCTGTTATTAAGATGTACAGCAACAACTCATTAGGCTCCTTTGACAACACCTTCAAAACCCAGGGCATTTACCATCTAGAAGGACATGCACGGCAAATATGTAGGAACCCCACAAGTTCTCCTCCTAGCCAAATACTATCTTGACTTGGAACAACATTGGTGGTCATTCAGTGTTTCTGGTTCAAAATCTTGGAACCCTCTTCCTAATTGTGCTGTGGGTGTACTTACACCTCATAGAGTCATAGAGTTATACAGCACAGAAACAGACCCTTTGAACTTATCTGCACCGACCAGATATTCTGATCTGACCTAGTCCCATTTTACAGCTTTTGGCCCATGTCCCTCTAATTCTTCCTATTTATATACCCATCCAGATGCTCTTTAAATATTGTAATTATATCTGCCTCCACTACTTCCTCTGGTAGCTCAATCCATACATGTACCACCCTCTGTGTGAAAAAGTTATCCCTCAGGCCCTTTTAAATCTTTCCCCTCTCACCTTAAACCTATGTCCTCCAGTTTTTGACTCCCCCTACCCTAGGAAAAAAATCCTTGGCTATTGACTCCATCCATGCTTCTCATGATTGTATAAACCTTTACAAACCTCAGCCTCCGAGGCTCCAGGAGAAATAGTCCCAGCCTATTCAGCCTCAGGATTGCAGTGGTTCAAAACGGCAACTCACCACCCTTTCTCAAGGGAAATTAGGATAGTTAGGATGAGAAACCTCACAACCTTTAAAAATTAGCTTTTTGAAATGTCATAATATTCAAGGCTGTGAACCAAGTGCTGGAAAATGGAACTAGTGTAGATCTAGAGTAGTTTTGTCAGGGCAGACGTGATGGGCTAAAGGGCCTGTATGATTCTGTGATGCATTATATCAGGTTAATATTTAAATAAAACATGTTGATATTCTTTAATATTCCAAAATGCATGTGTTTAATTATAACAATGGTTCTAGTAGTTAACTTCACAGTAGATAAAATAGGACTGATTAGTGCACTTTTCACCCTCTAAAGTGAAAAAAGACAGTGATCTAACAGAAATTATGTGTGGTATTTTCCTGGCTTTGAAGTTCTACTTAGGATTACTATAATTGATAGAATCAAAAGCACTTGAGAAACCACTGTTCTTGCAGTGTAGTTACAAGACTATGTAATCCTTCTGTGTTAACAGGATAATTTTGCATATTTTCATAATTTCAAGGTTGTTATTGCCAGAAAATGGATTTCAGTATGACATAGAGTGTAACTCTTTAACTGCTTTAGTTACTTTAGTTCTATAGCTTAATATGCCAAATAAATCTTTTCCAGTTGCCTTATAAACAAGTTTCATCAGAAGAGAATTCAGATTAACTGAAGATGTGTTTGAACTGAGTTTTGTCTATGAAGTAAAATAGTACAGTAAATTGAATCTCAGGTTCTAGTCTAACACAACAAATCTTAAGAATGAATCCCTGCTTCATGCCCTTTGAATTTAGGTTAAATAGTGATGGTGGATAATCATTTACTTAATACTCATTTATCTGACTTCATTTGCAAAACCTTCACAGAGTGAGTTATTTTCAAGTTATAGTGAATGTTAATGTGTACATGGAGTCTGCTGGGATGAAGTACAGGAAGGGATTCTTTCATATGATGCTTGAACATCCTTTCTGGCAAGTTACTTAAGTGACACTAACAACATCCATGGACAGTTTCCACAACAGCCTTTTGACTGCTTTGAGTGAACTCCTTTGGGAAGACGTTTTTTGTAACGGGGAAGGGTTTTGATTTGGCATTCTCATCAGGTCGGTGAGTGTCATTTTAAGTGAACTCCATGTAAAATTTAGAGTTAAATTGCATGCCTTCTGACATTATTATGTCTGCACTATGATGTTGCTTGAAGAGATTTAAAGTATTTGAGTAGTGAATCAGTTGCATCTATAGCATTTTTTTTTTGTAAATGAGAATTTATTAACGACTCATAAAAGCAAAATAATCAAAAAATAATTTGCAACTGTGTAAATTTCTGATAAACCTTTCATTTAAAAACTTCCTTGTACTTCAGTGCATCACAAAGTCTTCATCTTTTATTAACTGTTTCCCCTTGAAATGAATTACAGTTTTGTGCCCCGCAACACAATGGGTCTCTGTTAGTAACAGCAAAACACTTGTCGTTTACTGTTCTTGTAGAAAATCTGTTCTGATGAATGACCTTTGCTCAATTTAATAAGTTATTAGAGGCTATAAAGCATGCTTGAATTGATGGTAAAATTCAACAGTACAATCAATAAAAGCAAATTGTAATAACAGAATACAACAGTTGGCTAAAATTCCTATGTGCCCCAGAATATTCACAGTTACGGTGATTGATGGACATATTGAGATTTATTACTTTGTTAGGGGAATTAAGTAGTATTCTTCCTCAATGGTTTTGACATTTTACTTTTTTATAGTATACCAACTTTTTATTAATCTAGTGTGTTCATTACTGCAATAAGAAATCGATTGGCAACTTATTACCTAAATGGGGAGAAAATTCAGAGTGCTTCAGTGCAGAGGGATCTGGGTGTCCTCATGCATTAATCACATAAAACTCGTCTGCAGGTACAGCAGATAAAAAGGAAGGCAAATTGAATTTTAACATTTATTGCTAAAGGAATAGAATATAAAAGTGCTGCAACTGTGCGAGGCATTAGTGAGACTACACCTGGGGTATTGTGTACAGTTTTATTCCCCTTACTTGACGAAGGATGTAGTTGCATTGGAGACTGTTCAGAGGAGATTCACTAGATTGATTCCAGAGATGAGTGGTTTGTCTAATGAAGAGAGATTGAACAGTTTAAGACTATATTGTTTGGAGTTTAGAAGGATGAGAGAAGATCTAATTGAGGTATATAAGATGCTAAAGGGAATTGACAAAGTAGATGTAGAGAGTTTTCTGTGGTGGAATGAGAGGTCATAGTTTTAGTGGAAGTTGTGGCAGATTTAAAATAGAGCTGAGGAGAAATTATCTCTCCCAAAGGATCATGAATCTGTGGAATTCACTTCCCAGAATGCAGTGTTGGCACATTTTAGTAATTTTAAGTAGGAGATAGACAGGTTTTTAATTAGTAACAGGTCGAAGGTTTACGGGGAGTAGCGGGAAAGTGGAGGTGAGACTGGGGTGAGATTGGCCAGGATCGTATTGAATGGCAGAGCAGGTTCAAGAAGCTAAATTGCCTGCTCCTAGTTCTTATGCTGTTTTGATGCATTAATCTGCAATGGGTCTTCAGTTTCAATTTCCTTATGAATATGAGTAGGTCAAGTAAGTTGAAATATAATTCTGTAGTCGTGAATTGAGTACAATCAAGGAATGTGAATTTTTGCCATTGATTTAATGCTCGCCTGCCTGTCTAACGTGGTTACTTTTTAGGACTAATCTACCTACCGATGTGAGTTGATGGGTGAGTTAAAAACTATGCACAGGTCTGTTAAATAGCTACCAGTTCCAAAGACGTGTTGGGTGGTGTAATGTTCAGCACGTTAGTTAGTGTAGAACATCTTTCTCAAAATAATATTCAGGTTTAGAAGCAACAGCACAAGACTGATGAGTTTACATGAAGTTGAATATAAGTGTGTATAGCATTGATCTATAGAACGACAGATTTTGTACTAAAATATGGGAGTTCAAGTTTATTTTTCGTCTGCTCCCTGTCTGTCACTGCTACTGCTATTTTATATTTCATTGTCTTTTTCGTGATTGCTGACCAATTATTACAAGTAATCACAATTATTCTAAGTAAGATTGTAATAGCCCAAAATTATTACTGGCAAATGCTAGGTTTTAGTAGGATAAATCCATGCTTTTTTATATTTAGTGTGAAATTGTTACCTGATCTGTTGAATTTTTTTTTTATTTGTGATGCATGTTACTTAAATATACTAAATTGAGGCTATTGTTGTGTTTTAGACTTTGGATTCAGTAACATCTTTACTCCAGGACAATTACTTAAAACGTGGTGTGGGAGTCCACCGTATGCAGCTCCTGAGCTGTTTGAAGGAAAAGAATATGATGGCCCCAAAGTAGATATTTGGGTGAGTTATGAATGCTCTTTTTATTTGTTACACAAGTGTCTCTGGCAACTTTTAGTTTACTGTTTCATGGAGCTGTTTTGCCTGTATCAGAATGGTTGAACTAGCATTTTCTTTTCATAGATCACTGAGTTTTGACCCCCATTTATCTAAGTGGTGTATAGTTATTGCTAGACAACAAATAGATTTAGTGAGTAAAAGAGCATTGATCAAATACTCTTAAGTAGAAGCCACAAAGTGTTTGCTGATACCGACAACTGTGGGCAATTCCATATACCTGCTTCTTCGGGATCACATGGTTCCGAACACTGACAACATTGCAGAAACTTTGCGTACGACATCATAAACAAATTGGCTCAGGAACAACAAGAAAACCCCAAGAACTGGAAGGCCCTCTCTCCCTTTCACATCTGTCCTAGATCTCTCGCTATATCCCCACTGGTTATCTCCCCATTTTCTCTGCCCAGGCCCACCTGATCTCTATTTCTCCACCCCATATCCTCTGGAATATGCGCAAGTGGTACACAACGTAGGTGTTGGTGTCAGAAAATGCTGCCAAATATAGAACTGCTACCATAAAATTATAAATTCTCAGGAAATCTTTATAAAATCTGAGTTTTCCAATCACAGCCAGGTCAATTAATACAGGCTATGTCATAAGACTTGGAATTATAGTTGTATTCCCTTCAACATATCTATGGGTCCTTTCAGTGCCTTGCTGTTGAAGGATAATTGTGTCTTACAAAACAAACCAGAAATAGAAGTGTTTTCTGTTTGTATTGACAAGTGGAACTGATAATATTAACCTTGGAAAAAAATGTACACTGAGTCTCACATGTCGAGTTCAGAAATCTTCTCCCTACCTCCTTTCCTGCTCTGTCCCAATGCATTGTATTTTTGTAAATTTAGAATGTAGTAAACAATAAAAATACTTTATGTGAGGAAGTAAAACTATCAAAAATAGATAATACTATTTTGAACATAAGACTAAATTTTACAGTGTCTCAAAGTGTGCAGTTTATGAGCAAAATATGTATCAAACTATCAGTTTTTTGCATAAACCAGAAAATGTTTATACTCTTGTAGCTGTTTCCTTTCTCTAACACTTCCATGAAAGATATGAGAAATAAAACTGTTTTCATCCTTGTGTACATGAAAATATTCAGCGAATTGAGTTGATAGCATAAGACAGATTAAAGAGTTGCTTAGGACTCAGCAAGTCCTTGACATTACTGAACTGGAGTATAGCAATAAGGGAGGGGAGAGAGTATAAAACAGTTTACATGGTTAAAATATAGTGTTATTCATGGTAATATGATCCATTTTAACACCATTTATTGTTCTTTGTAGAGTTTGGGGGTGGTCCTGTATGTGCTGGTGTGTGGGGCCTTACCATTTGATGGCAGCACACTGCAGAACCTGCGGGCCAGGGTACTGAGCGGGAAATTCCGCATTCCATTCTTTATGTCAACAGGTAAGAACTCTAATTTTGCATGCAACAGTGAGTAATAAAGATGGTGCTGAAACATTGGTGACTTCATTGGTGTAAATTTTAGTGGCAAAGCTAGATCTTTGAGAGTGGTTCAGAACTTTATTGTTTATGTGATTATGTGACTAATTGAAAAGCACCTGTTGTGATCAAAGAGCATTGATCAAATGATCTTAACTAGAAGCCACAATATAAAGAACTATTACCATATAATTGTAATGAATTCTCAGGAAAGCCTTATAAAATGTAAGTTTTCTACTCCCGGATCAATTAATACAAACTATGTTGTAAGACTCATAATTGTGCTTTTATCCCTGTCATGATCTATTTTCCTATGGCAACAATACAGAAGCAACTGCTAGTGTATATTTCAGTATCTTTGTATTTATGTATGCAATTTATTACTGAATTCCTTATAATGTCTGAATTCTTAAAAATAATGCAAGCACTAATGTTAGCATTTTTATTTTAAAGTACTCATCTCAAGATGATCACTTCAATCATGCATATCTTTGCTAATTATTTGTGTATTAATTTAAGATGCAGTCTATTTTCAATACTAATTTGATTTGCATATTAGACTTTGGTAGTCTTCGTCTTCATTATATGTTTGTTACATATGGCATGAAGTGATATATAAGCCTTACGGGTTGTTACTCATGGTTGCAACAAATCCTTGCATTTTTCAGTTCACAGACATTTAGTTCTAAACAGAGATACTTGGTGTAAATCCTGGGTTCAACTGCTGTGCCTTTGAGGAAAGAAAGAACCGGATAATCTCTGCTTCATCCAAGAAAGCTACGGCAAGACCAGTCCGACTGCCTTGCTAAAGCATGTCCTGCTTTAATTTTTGTGTCAATTGACTTGTTAGCAGATGCAGAATAGGCAATAGCCTTGATAATAATTGAGATAAGTGTGAAATTTAGTATCTGGGAAATATTGTTTCCTGGAAGTTCTGCAGAATTTGATGGAGGTCTGATTTAAATTTTCTGTGGCCCGTTCCCAACAGCAGCAAATAAGTTTGAGTGGATTGCTTTCTGTTGGGCAAGTGGGCAGCTGGGGAATGAAGTTAGGGGAATTGGCATTGCTGAGGAGGTATGGGATTAGGATGTCCGATCCTAATATCGCTGACAGATTGATGTGGCCAAACATGGAATGTGCATTAGGCAGGGAAATAGTTGGAACGAGTGCTAGCCTGGCCTCCCGGACAACCCAGGCTGTTGACATCACCTGATTCAAAGGAAGCTACATGTGATTAAAGCTCACATTGTTTTGAGTACTATTAATGTATGTTGGGCATCAGACATTAGAGAGCAGGAGACTAAATAAGTTGGGAGGTGAGAGAATTGGGCAGCAGACACTGGAGCCAAAAGTTGGAAATCAGAATTTTGGGGCAAATGACTTGCACATTAGACACAAGGGAACTAGCATGTTGGGCATTTGATATGAATTATGGTGTTGGATGATAAATTATTGCAAAATTAGTTTAAACACAGAATAGGTTGGACTCTGATGGCTCTGTGACCAAGTCATGGGCTGTCATTCATTGTCTGAGCTCACGTAAATATATAACTATTCGGAACAAAAACTAGAGGGTGCTGGGGGCATAGAACAATGCTGTACACTTGAGTCATTGCCCTTAGAAGAGAATTGAAAGTGGTGGGGGATGGGGGCGGTACCTTAATATCGAAAACACTTAGCACAACACAGTTTATTTTACTTTTCAAAACACAATTTCTCACAATGTTTTGCAATTTTTTTTTACTGTAAAGTTTACCTCTTATTTTAACAACTTATCAGTCCCAATATTGCATAAAATGGAAATTGTAGAATCTTCTAGACTGCATTTACAAGCCACTTCAAGTTAAATGTCAAATTTCATTATAAGTGCATCATTTATTATGAGAATCAGTAGCTTTAATATAGCTTTTTCTGCACAGTTAAAATAATTCTTGCTTTTAAACATTTAAGTTCTAAGGATGTTTATGGTGAACAAAATATATTCAAACATTTTAATTGAAACAGAATATATTTTCTTGTTTTGAATATATTATACAATAATCTATGGGAGATTATCTTAAATTCAGTAAACTGGTCTCAATGTACAAATCATTGTTACTAACTTCCAAAGGCAATGTTTCCATTCTTTGTGGTTAACGCTCTTATTATACCCAATTCCCTGTAGTCCAACTGTCAGTGATATTTAATTGGAAGAAGTAGAGTGCATGACTTAATGGCCATATTTGACACTGCTGGGACCGAATAATACAGTAATTGGAGTATTAGACAGTTCATCAAGTGGGAAATTTTGTGTCAGAGCGCTTGATTGATTCTGTTTAAAAACTGCTTTTGTCTTTAGTCCCACAGTACTTGCTTTCAGTTAATTTTGACATTTTCTGGTCTCTTTAGGATTTTAGAAATATGCCTGGTGTACTTTGATACAATTTTCTGAAAACTTTTATGACATGAATTAATGACTTTGCATGTCAATAAAACAATATTAGTGAAGAAATTTAAAATATGAGTAAAAAGACTGAAAAATATCACTTATGCTACTGGCTAAAAAACTTATTGTTGAAAAATTTGGAGTGTAATAAGTTTTAAATTTGCATTCCTTATTAGGTAAAGTCCTGTTGTTATGCACCCTGTAGCATTCTTGTATTATATCAATTGCTGTTATTGTCCTGTGAAAATTTATCACTGCTGAAAATACCATGTACCATTATTAATTTAAAAACAAATTCGCATATCTCACAATTAACCCATTCTTTTAACTCATGTAAGTGCTTGCATTACTGGATCATTTTCGAGTCTCAAAAATTTACGAAACAATATATTAAATAATTCAAGAGATTATTCATTGGTAAATGGGAAACTCAATACATTCAACTAAAAAAAATTGAAATTCAGTTTGATCCCCTCAGTTGGGCTTTAGATCTGTTATTGCACTGATCATTCACATTATATTTCGACTGTTATCCACACCTTATGGCATTTTGAATGGAATTCTGATATGCAGCATGATTTACAAGATTTTAATTGATACCAAGAAGCTGCTTTTCAAGCAATAATTATTGTTTTATATCTTTGATAGATTAGAACTTTCTTTCAGTGACAATCTGTTTGAGGGTCAGTTAGAGATGCAGAGTGATGCCAACAGTGTGGGTTCAATTCCATAATGGCTAAGGTTACCATGAAAGACATGAATCCCACATTACCTAATGTGGGCTTCAATATGATGAACCTAGGATCAGGAGTTCATTTATCTTCCAGCGTACCCATCTGGGCTGTGTAGAACCTCCTTGCATGAAGCCTTCACATGATAGATCTAATTTAAAGAGGCAGCCCTCACATAATATATCACTAATTTTGAAATCCTGTCACAGATTAGGAACTGCAATGAATTGTTGTTGCAAGCAATATTTTCCAAGTGCTAGAGCAGGGCTTCCTAGAATGGGGAACATGACAGGGTTGGGAGATCCAAGGCAGTAAAGGCTGCCACGGAGCTTCATTCAAATGAACAGCTGTGAGATAGCTTTAAATTCTAGTCTTATTTTGAAACTCTAGGTATGGCCTATATCACATATACACCTGTTTATGATATGATATACCTATCCATATCAATCTTGAGGCTTGGATCTTTTAGCAGGAGAAATGTAGACTTTACGTATGGGTCAGGAATCCTTTATCTGAAAATCTCAGGAACACCACCATCTGGTTTCGGATAAATTATATTTTCAGTTTTTGGATACAGTTTGCGTTACGGGTCTGTTCTGGCCCTTGATAAAAATCTTCACTTTTAGGTCCATTGGGCCTGCTTTCAAAAGAACTTTATTATATGTCTTTTTTGCTTTGGATAAAGGGTACCCAACCTGTACTTTAAGAAAGCAATGAAAATGCCTACTATTCCAAGTTATTTCATGGCCAACCCCTTCTTTTATAGCCCTCACCACTCAGCGCTCACAGATCTGAACCTGCTCCTTACAGTTCTTGCTGAGGGTTCCTAACAACTTTACAGCCCTTTGGCACAATCCCAGTTGGAAAGATTTGGGAACTCCAGTGCTCAAGTAAAATTGTCACTGGTTTGAACTCCTGCTGCTAGCTGGAAAGATGCGTATGTGTTGGCAGCTGTAGTATGCATCTGGCCCTGACACATTTCTGGTTAGTGGCAGGAGCTACAATGAAAAGTTTAATCAGATTATTTAGTTAATTTAATAATTAAATTATGTTTGGTTGGTCCAAGTCTGATTAATTCATCATTTATGGTATATTTTGTGGTGAGATTGTGCAACGGTAGTTCTGTTATGTCCACTGTAAAAGTTGAATAAGTAATGTGATTGTATTTTGTGCATGCTTTATAAATGCAACTTTACATAAGCATTTTTGTCTTGTGTGACACTACAAATAAATCACAACTGAAGTGTCTGTAGAAAGAAGTTTGAAATTCCTTGGAGAATGATATTTTCCTCTCAGCTGTAAAATTCAGCTGTGCAATGGTACAGCATGAAATTACTTCACCTCCGTGCTACACCTATATTGTAAATGAAGCTTTAAATAGAAAACATGAAGCCTTTTGTGAATTTTGATATTGATTGAATTTAGTTTTGAGCGCTTGTAACTATTTTTAATTATTTTCCAAATAGAATGCAACAGAATATTGTGATGAGCTTCCAAATGTTTTGATGAGTATAATTTGCCTTTCTGCTTTCTGCTTTCTTCTTGCAATATCCAACACTAATATACTTCAGTGTTTGCAAAACAATGAATTTACATTGGTCTTGGGTTTTGATTAGATACTGGCTTGCTACATAGGCTTGCAGTTTGCACTAAACAGGTGAATCAGAACAGGTATGTTTTCACTGCCTGTCATTGACTTGTACTTTATAATTAATGTTTTTGCTAGTGTTATTCTTGTATTCCAGCCTAAAAAGTATGTAGAGTTTAGAGTAGAAAAGCGTAGATAAAGTGGTCAAACTTGATTTGTT